CAGCCCCGACCCCGCGCGACGGGGACCCTCGGGGGACAGACCAACCACACAGCCAAGGGATTCGAATTAACTCAGCCATTTTTGGAGAACCTTGGGGAACATGGAAATTTAAAAAAAAAAAAAAAAAACATTTTTAAAAAGAAAAACGGGGAGAAAAAAAAAATCGCTTCTATTGATGAGTTTTATCATCTCAATTGAACCTTTCCTTCTTCCCCTGGTGAACGCGAGCTGGTGGCCCGTGTGTGGCTGAGACACCGAAACCCAGCGTCCCACACAGACCTCGGCCAGACAGCTCAGACCCCACACACGTGCTCAGACACACACAGGAGTGCTTGCTGGTTATACCAAACCCTACTATTACTGCCTGCAGAAATCGATTTAAAAAAAAAATAAACAATTTTAAAAAGGACAAAAAAATTAATGATTGAGAAAAGAAGCATTTTTTCTGACATTTGGTCCTGCTTGAAATAACAAAAGAAAAAAAAAAGACCACCACCACCGACTTCCTTTGCTTCTTTTTGCCTTTTTCCTACCTTGTTTGAAAACTGTGGGCTTGGGACTGTGAATTATTGCATGACATTCAAAAAGAAAAAAAAAATAAAAAGTTGAATCAAAGGGCTTATGGACTGAGTGGTCTTTAACCCTCTGCAAAGTGTCCCCCGGGGTCTTGGGGGGAACCGTGGAAGCGGGCGCTGTGGAAGTGGGTAAGAAGGCGAGCCGAGCTCTTCAGCATCCAGGTGTGGTTCCAGAGAGCTCGGCCCACAAGCACCACCTGGGTCCCCAGCTCGGTGGCCAGAGCACCAGTGATTCCAGCTGCCTCCTGAGCAGGCCCAGGAAAGCCTAGGCCAGTGGTGGGCAAACTTTTTGACTCGAGGGCCACAATGGGTTCTTAAACTGGACCAGAGGGCCGGAACAAAAGCATGGATGGAGTGTTTGTGTGAACTAATATAAATTCAAAGTAAACATCATTACATAAAAGGGTATGGTCTTTTTTTTTTCGTTTTATTCATTTCAAACGGGCCGGATCCGGCCTGCGGGCCGTAGTTTGCCCACAGCTGGGCTAGGCCAAAGATGCTAAGCAGGTCCTTGCCAGCTGCCCAATAAGAAACTAGAGAGGTGGGGGTGTTTGTTTATTGGTTTTCCTTTTTCAATTACCATTTACATTCAAGAGAGGGTTTTAGCCCTAGCCAGTTTAGCTCAGTGGATAGAGCATCAGCCTGGGAACTGAAGGGCCCCAGGTTTGATTCTGGTCAAGGGCACATGCCTGGGTTGTGGGCTCAATCCCCAGTAGGGGGTGTGCAGGAGGCAGCCAATCAATCTCTTATCATTGATGTTCCTATCTCTCTCTCCCTCTCCCTTCCTCTCTGACATCAATAAAAATACATTTTTTTAAAAAGTGAGAGAGAGGGTTTTAACTTCCTACCCAGACAACTTGACCAATGGTAACCCCCACAGACTTCCAGACCAGCTGTCAGCGAAGGCCAACGCTGATCCCTGTCAGAGGTCCCCCTCGAGGTGCAGGGGTGGGGTGGGAGGATGCATGCAATTCTATCCAGAGCCAGGAAGCTACAGCCATCTGTTTGCCAGAGAATGAGGCCCACTGTTGGAGCCCCACCACCACCCCACCCCGGGACCCAGAGGCCAAGCTTGCAGCTGAGTGCCAGGAGCCTGGACGCCAGGCCTCCACAGCCCACACCTTCAGCGGGAGTGAGTGTAAGTTGCCCAGTAGACACAGGTGGAGGGAGGAGGGATCAGGGAATGAAGAGGCAGAGGAGGACTCGCCTCACGCCCTGGTCTCACATCTCAGTACCTGGCCTGAGCCACCTCGCCTGGAAACCTGAAGAAGGAACAAGGAAACGGGCTCTGAGGGCCAGGGATGCTGTGCAGATGCCCTGGGCAGCTCCCTTTCTGAGGCACAAACAGCCAAGAGATCCAGGCTCCATTTCAGACAGGTCCTTCAGGCTTGAAGGAATTCTACCCCCTCCCTGCAACCCACCGCCTCCAATAGCTACTCCTCGGAGTCTTAACGTCCTATCTGTGAAATGGGACCCTCTGCTGTGTCAAGGAGGCAACATTTCCATCTACCCTCTTAGGTTCCGTGACTGAGACCCGCGAATTAAACTAACAAACGGCAGATTAACAGGAGAAAAGGCACACAGTTTTTAGTAATACTTACAGAAAAGGAAAGTCACAGAAAAGAAGTGGAATTCAAAGAAGCATTTCGACTCAGGGACTTTCTATATCATTTGAAACAAAGGAAAGGGGATTTGAGCTTCAAGGGACTATACATTGTAAGGAATGACAAGGAAATAAGGGGGGACTAAAGAAATGTAAAGGCGATTATAGTAGGGTTTGTTGATGCAGACTCAGCTCAGTGCTGGCTCTCTATTTCCAGTGATACCAATCCCTTTCCTCTTCCTAATACAGATGGCAGAGACACCACAAAGGAAAATTCATGTCACCTTCTCAGAGGGAAAAGTATGCCCTGCTTGTAGGCAGAGGAGGGGAGGGCAGAGAACTCCTTGCATCTGTTGATTCTCAATTGCCTTCAGCTCAGAATGATCCTACACCAAAGTGATATATTTGGGGGAGCATACCCGGATTCCCACCAGCTGCCAAAGGGTTTGGGGGTCATGGTTGGGTGAGACAGATCTGTGCTGGGTCACCAAATGGCGCTCCCCAACTACCACAAGCGCAGGCAGCACTGAGGTGAAGTCCTGATTTTAGAGGAACAACCAGAAGGGGGCGTATGAGGACAGGACACTCAGCAGGAGGCTGTTGGTCACTGTCAGTTGCAAAAGCCTCACCAGCACAGCAAAGCCAGTATCTATCTTACAGTGACCATGCTTAGGGTGACAAAACATTTAAGTTTAATAAAAATAAAACTTTCACAGAACTAATGGAATATCCTTAG